AATTAAGAAATTTAAAACATTTCACTTTTTCAATTTAATAAACTATTGTCATTGTTTAAAATAGTTTTATATTTGTCATCAATTTATAGTTTTCACGATTTAGTTTTTAGGTTGTGGTCTTCACATCTCCATCGAACCGCGGGATTTTTCTTTTCTTTTAATTTCTAAAATTTTTAAAATTTCTTCTTTTAACAGTTCCGTGTTCTTTTATATTTAGTAATATTGGATGGTTTTAAATTGTTGGCATATTTCAGCTTGAAAGGTATTTCGCTTATAGCAATGTATAACTTTTAGATTGAATTATCACTCGGGTTATCTGAAGTAACATTGGTTGGTAAAAAAGAAAGCGGGGGAAGATGGCAAACGTTTTGAAAACCCTGAGTTATTGCAAAACTATTAGTTGTGAAGCAGTAATACTTTGTCAGTATGTTCATGTTATCATAATGACTCATTGCTTGCATGAATTTTCAGTTTGCAAGTAGAAGAATTTGAAATAAAAATTAAAATTAAAAACTCATAAATATGTCATCTGGTCATGTGACTGGGGCAAAATGACTTACTATGCAATTTCTGACTCTAATTTTAAAAAAATTTAAAAACTACCAACTATTCTAACTAAAGAAACACAAAATAAACATGCGTCGCAAAAAAATATTCCTAAAAATGTTACACCATGTTACCCAAAGGATACCATTTAGTATGCATAATCAAAAGTGAGGTATTTTTTCTTAAGCACAAAAAGTAAATTTATGGTATAAAATTGTGTTAATAATATTTAAAAAAAAAAAATTTGCGTTTTAAAACACAAGATGTAAATACAATTTTATTTTTACCCATTTTAAAGTTTTTTTGTTGAGTTGTTATATGAAAAGCCATCTAGCCCTGTAATTAGTGTAAGTAATTGTATTATATATAAACTATTATTGTGTTGCGTCAGAAGGAATGTTGTTGACGCGTCGTATATTATACTGTATATAACGTTTATACTGTTTATTATACCCTCGGGGTATTTGAAAATGTATATATATATTAAGTAAAGATATTCAGAAAGACAGTAAGGAAAAACAAATATAGACTTATTATTACAAACTATTACGGCAATAAACATCGTGATAAAGTTTGCGGATTTGGTATCACAGTACGATGGTTGGGTGATTTTTCAGAATGAATTCAGACATTAGAACTGGTAGCAAACCTTCAAAAAGTTGACGAGCTGCATGTGGTGCTACCCTTATTTCTTTCTGGCGGGGCGTTTGCCATTTATCAAGGTCTTAGTGATGAGATAAAAGAAGACTACAATGAAGTGAAAACTGCACTGACTACTGCCTTTTCTGCTATTCCGCTAACAGCATACAAAGAGTTCGTAAATCGCTGTCTTAAAGAGAACGAGTTCATTGACGTCCATCTCGCAGAATTAACAAGACTAAGGAAGCTAATATTATCTCACGTAAGCAAAGAGTGGATAAGGTGCGCATTTATTCTTGGATTACCTGCAAGAAAACAGCTGCAAACTGCATGCTCAATATCAACAATGTCGCCGTGCAAGATCGCTGAAAAATCAAGAAGTTTGGCAATCTTACGTCGCAAAGAATCGTTTGTTTTTTTTCAATTTCGTGAATCCTGTTGCCATTAGTTCAAGACAGGTTCCTCAAAGACGCTGTAAAAAGACCATAACGTTGCGGCGAGGATGGACATATCAGTAGAAACTACAGCAAAGAAACTGAGAAGAAGAGGTACTTTATGTGTGAAATGGACAATCACCTGGCCCAGCACTGCTATAAAAAGTGTACGAACTTAAAAAATATGGAAGGGAAGCCATCCGTTTTTGTGCAAGCGGTTTCTTAAAAAATTTAAAACCGCCAACTCTCTGCGTATATGTCAATGGAAGAAAAATAAAAGCATTGTTGGATACTAGATATTCCAAACCAGTTTTAAGTCAGGATATTGTAAACATAAAAAATGTCAAACACGCAAAAGAAAAGGTTGCTTTGATGAATGGAAAGTCAATTGAAGTAAAATACCAGACTGTTGTTGATCTTTCTATAAACGATACCACCATCGATTTGGAATGCCTGGTTGCCGACATTGTTGCCGAATATCAAATGCTACTTGGTATGGACGCAATACGACAAATGCTACTTGGTATGGACGCAATACGAAGGTGTCCAATTCGGGAGAGACGGCGAAACCACAAACAAATGTGGGGCAACTAACTGTCGGCTGCAGTCTCTCAAAAAAAAACGAATGAAGTATCCTCGCCTACTATTCAAAAGCTGATTGATAAAGACTTTGTAGCAGAATTCAAAAATGGTATTTGGAGCATATCTTGGAAACGGCTGATGGAACCACCAACTTTAACAAACAAAATTTCAAACTATCACATCTCTGAAGATGTTAAAAGTGAATACGCAATGGAAATAAGTGAATGGATAGCACAAGGGTGGCTGAAACCATTTGAAGGGAAATGTAATGGCATTATTCCGTTAATGGCAGTAATTCAACGAAACAAATTAAAAGTACGTCCGGTAACAGACTACCGGGAGCTGAATCAATTTGTATCCAGTCATATTGCAGATCGCGATGTTTGCAGTACCAAACTTTGCAACTGGAGAAAGTTGGAAGAAAATCTTGAGATAATCGATTTAAAGAAAGCTTAGCTGCAGATTTGTGTCGACGAAGCATTATGGAAATATCAAGTTGTGGAACATGAAGGGCAGCGTTACTGTCTAACAAGATTGGGTTTTGGTTTAAATGTGGCGCCCAGAATAATGATAAAAATCTTAAAAATTGAATTATCCTTAGACAAAGTTGTCGAGTCTGGGACGGATTCATTTATTGATGACATCATTGTCAATAACAACGTAGTGTCAAGTTGCAGATTTCAAGAACTCTTGAAAAATATGGCTTGGATTCTAAGTTGCCAAAAAAATTTGTTGGTGGGCGTGTGCTTGGATTGCGAGTGTACAAAAAATGAAACCAAGTCTGTTGGAAATGTGACAACATACCCAAAGTTCATGAAGGAAAAATGATACGTCGGCAAATCTTTTCTTGGTGCGGACAGCTGACCGGACATTTACCAATAGCAAATTGGTTGAGCCCTTCATGCAGTTATCTAAAAAGGGTTTCGAGTAGTTGTGGATGGGACTCTTTGGTGAACGATCGTGTTGTCAAATTTATATAGTTCTGGAAGTGGTTGGGGAAATGGTAGAAGACTGGTCGTAGCTGAGGAAAAAAGATGATGCGGCTCACAATAATCTCGCATAGTTAGAAGCTGTGATAAAAGGAATTTAATCTAGCAACAAAATGGGGATTTGAATTTATTACCATAAAGTGTGATTCGGCTGCTGTTGTCGACTGGTTAAACCCCTTAATTATCGGTGACAAATCCGTTCAAGTACACTGTCTTGAAGAACCACTTGTCGATCACCGGTTGTCGTTAATTGATGACCTTGTGAAGAAGTGCGGTATAAAATTAAAACTTTTCCTGGTAAAGTCAGTAGAAAATAAAGCCGATGCTCTTACGAGGGTACCACAGAACTGGCTGCATTCAAACCATTCTGCAATGACAGCAAATGTCGTACACCTTGATGTGAAGTCATTTCATAATCTTCATCACTTTGGGGTAAATCGAACCTTTTATTTGATGAAACAAACATATCCGAAGAAGAAAGTTTGTAAAAAAGACATTGAATCAGTCGTAAAAAGTTGCGTAGGATGTTTATCGGTGGATCCTGCGCCAATTAGATGGGAGGAAGGAAATCTTGAAGTTGGAAAGAGCTAGTACCGTTTAGCTATTGACGTTAACCACTATAAATCAGAGATTTATTTGTCTATCATTGACTGTGGCAAAAAGAGCAAGTTTTCAATTTGGAGGAAGCTACAGAACAAAAAAGAAACGATAGTTTATTTCCATTTAGAAGAAATATTCCGAGAAAAATGACCTCTGTGGCAAGTTCTTCTTGACAACAGCAAGACCTTTTGCTCAAAACTGGTTGGTGAATTATGCGCAGAATGGGGAGTGTCCATCCTGTTTCGTTGCGCTTACAGGTCATCTGGAAATGGAACTGTTGAACGTCATCATCGCACAATCAAGCGTATGGCAGAAGGAAGAAGTGGCAAAGATCCGTTCAAAATGGTTTATTGGTATAACGTGGCTCCCAGAAAAAATGTCGAGGAAACATGCTCCCGTTTTATATATATCGTATTATATATAAACTATTATTGTGTTGCGTCAAAAGGAATGTTGTGGGCGCGTCGTATATTATATTGTATATAACATTTATACTGTTTATTATACCCTCAGGGGTATTTGCAAATGTATATATATTGAGTAAAGATATTCAGAAAGACAGTAAGAAAAAACAAATATAGATTTATTATTACATGCCCCATTCGCCATGTTGTCCCGTTTTCCCCTATAATGTTGTTGGTAACGCAATTATCGAGTAAAGGTTAAGTTTTTATCGAGGCCATTGTAGTTATTTTTGCAAGTGATTGGATTTTTGTTTAAGATGTGTTTGTTGTCTAAACTTATTACAGATTTTACATTTTTGGCATGCAACTATAGCTGATATTTACAGTGTTCATGTACTCAAAATGAGAAGTGGGAGATTTTTTAATTTTCTTTGGCCCTATTTATTCCTCAAATAATTGATTTTTTGGAGGTGATTTTTAAGTAAATAATTTTACCACCAGTGATGTCTGCTAATTACAGGGGAAAAAAGCTCATTGTTTACGTTAGATAAGAGTGATAAACAACCTACCTAAGTTGGAATCTTCTCCTGGTTCCACTTCTCCCCACTCTCTCCTGATTCGTTAAATTTTATTTACCTACTTTGTTCATTTCATATTTTATTTTCATATTAGCTAGTTTGTAGGTAGAGGTGGTGAGAAATGTTGGAATTAAAGGTTTTTATTTTACTTTGAAAACTGTTGCATACTTGGCGGGGCCTGATATGTAATTAGCTCATTAAATTATTTTCAAAAGCTAGCAATATGATGGTTTGCTATGGATTATGAGGTATCTTTATTCCATAAAAGTTAAATGTAACTCTTATTAGGACTCCTGCTGAAAGAAAAACATTTCCATCGAATTCTTTTGATACAAGTTTCCGTTGCGTCTAAATGAAAAAATACAACATTTTGGTTATACTATAAGCATAACGATTGTCTCGATTATTATCAAATTATCTAATTTATATTTAATTTCTTAAAACATTTGCTTACATAATATCGATAATTGTCAAACAAACAAGAGGCTTTTTGTACGTTATGATACAGAAAACAATTTACAAAATTATTTGGGAAATTTTCTGTTCTTGGATTCAAATGACTCGTAATGTTGGAGCGAGAGTGTCTATCAAATAAACGCCCACCCGAATACACGCTAGCAAACGGTAAGTCTATAGCAAGTAAAGGTTGTTTGCTTACTATAGACTTGTTATTACAAAACCGTTTGTTTGCTATCAACATGTCGTAATAAAACCTTTAACAAAAAAAGGTGCAATATGTTAACTAGCTATTGATTAATTGTTATGTTATGATTTATATTTATCAATAGCGAAGTATCGTATGTAAAGCTACATCACTATTAATATATTGTAATAAAATTGCTAGCAACAAAGCTAGCTGAGATATAAAAAATCGTTATAAAATCCAATGTTTAATGCTTAATTATTATCATAAATATATTAGAACTAACATTAAAAATCCAATTATTTAGATTGGTTAAAATAATTCTTTAAAAATCGTTTTAAAACTAATCGTTAGCTCGTTACCACAGGAACCTGTGGTGCATTTTTTTTTCAACCAAGTTGACCAAAGATCTAAGGAAACATTTTTTTAGTGGATTTGCAATAGATTTATATATCCACTGAGCACAGGACCTAAAAAAGACGTTTAAAAGATGTTCAAAACGTTAAAAAGTTGTTCAAGCGACGTCTTAATTACGTCCCCTGCCCACTAGGTAGATACTTTGAGCGGTTAAATAGAGTTTAACTCTTCGGTTACTTGGTGGACCTTTAGTGGCATTCGCTAAATATGGCCAACCTATAGCTCTCTAAGATGTGATATAGTGGCAAATCATTGGCTAACCACTTTTACCGGCTAGCTCTAATGGTAACTAAATAACCGATGAGCACAACTACAGCGGACCGCTTAATATGTTTATTAAGGTCTGCTAAAATTCCGCTGTAGAATGTTTGCTCAGATGTTTAAATTCTCCTCATCTCACTATGAAACAAAAAAGTTTAGTTTTGAACGCTCTGCACTCGTATTGTCTGGGGACTAATTTTTAATGACCTTCTAAAATTCTTTACACCAGATATTTTGTAATCTCTTAATTGTGAAGTGTAACTACTGTTTTATTTTGTTCTATTTAAACTGTTCTATTCTGAAAGGAAATTGAATTTATCATGACTTTGCCAATACCTCGCTTAACTTATTCTTTTCTAAATTAAATTTATTAAAAGTCCTAAATAGTAATTTTCTCTATAATAGGATTTGATCACCAATTACATAGACACTAAATGTTTTTAAATACACTCGCCGCCTTGGTCTTAATAAGGTGAAATAGCTTTTATAAAAATATTTAGTTAGCCCTCACATAATTCTTACTTTATTATATCTATATCTAAATATAATCAAAACCGTTTAGTTATTTTGAATGACTAATAATATCAATAAACGTATTTTGTTTAGAATTCTAATATTACTTCGATTAGAGAATTATTCATTCTTAGGTCACGCTTATCACCTGAGTATTTAAGGTATTTTTTATTAAATTTAAATAAAGACATTTAATCTTTTTTACAAAATAGTTTTTTACAAAGACATTGTTAACCATAACGTTAACCTTAACCTATACCGACTTTTTGTTTTGTTATTGGCATATTTATATCATGATGAATTTAAAAAAACAGGTTTGATTTTAATTATTAATTAAATAATTTTAATTATTAGTTAAGATTTGTTTTATGTCAATATTATATCTTTTTTTTTTCTAATAATTAAATAATCATGATATTTACTTTGTTAACTATTATCAACAATGATGCAGTTTAGCCAAATTTTAAAAATTTTTTTTTTTCCTTTTGTCCTACAATCTGTGAATTGACGCTTTATCTTTTTTTATTTCATTTATAATTGTGAATAGCTATTGAATATTATCAAATGCAATAAATGTTTCTTACGCTTATTTGTTTTTCTTTCTCAACTTCAGTAGAACATTAATAAATTAATTTTTACGCGATACTAATTTCGTTGTTTTATTAATTTTGTATGTCCTTAATGTCTTTCCTCTAAAGATTAATGAGAACGTGATGCCTAGCAAACATGTCTTAAACAAAAATTGTCTTAAAAACTTCTTTTTTTTTTTTTTTCTTTTTTTTTTTGGTACAATAATATTATTTTGATATGTGATTTTATACATGGGAGTTTTCTTACTATTATAAAAAGAATTCTAATTACTAAAGTTTGTAGTTTTGTAACTAAATTGTTATTGAAGAAATAAAAAAAATTTTTGGTTACCTAAGTCCGATTTGCTGAATTTACCCGATTATTGGTGGAATTCCCAATTGTCGATTAACGACTTCTCTTCGTTTATTTTTCCAATAACTATTTGCTTAGTTACGAAGCAAAAAACCTAGATTTTAAATAAAGTTTATTTTTAAATAAAGTTTAAAATAAAGTTTCTTTTTTATAAAATTTTTTAAAATTATTGTTTATTAAAGTTTAATATTATTAAAATTATACAAGCACCTTGAAAGAGCCCCGCTTTGATAAAAATATTTTATTTCGTGCAAATGTTACGTAAACCGATAACAATCGCAAATAAACTTTTGAAGTTAATTTGAAAAATATGAAGTTAATGTGAATAACTCTGCAAAATGCTTTGCTAATTAAAAAAATTATGTTCTATGTTCATGGGTCACTAGTTATCGCCATACAATTAACTACAAGATCTTGAGCGATTGCTACGAAATAAAATTTAATAAAGTTATTAATGCTTTATTATATGACTGATTGAAGAATGACATAAAACAAAAACAAAAAAGTTTGGAGGCATGGTTTTAAAGGTTTCAAAAGCATAATAACGGCAAAGTACTTTTAAAGCTATGGTATGAATTGAGAAACGTAAGTAATAAATAATTAAAGTGGAAATATAAATAGAATAGTAATAGTAATAAACCTAGTTATTCTTTTAAATAATAAATTTATAAACATTAAGTTAGGTACCTTTATGTAAACAACAACAACAACAAAATGCAATATATTTACCAGAAAGATAGATGTTTTGTATAAGAATGTTATAAGTTACAAAGATATATGTACAATCTACATTCTGGATGGTTCACTCTCATAGCTAGGCTAAATTGAGGAGAGCGACCATGAACAAAACAAAACAAAACAAAAAACAATGCAGATAAAATAAATAATACGTACACAAGAGGTTGCTATTAGTCAACAATCATATTTATATCTTATACATTTTCTATGGTGATATATCTTTTATCACCAGTGATACAACTGTTGTTCTATTTATCTTGATGTAACAAGTAGTTTTTTAATTTGTTTTGGGGACATATTTTTTAATGTTGTTAAAAGAGATTGATTTTAATTTATTTTAAATTTGATTCAAGTCCATTAATGCAGAGTATTTAAAAGAGTGTCAGGGCTGTTTCAGAGTGAGCTTTACGACTTCTTGTTATTTTTTAAAAATATTAACGTAAAAGGAGTTCTAAAATATTTATAAATTTTGAAATATTAAAGATAATTTTGTTTGGTTTAAAGAATAAAAACAGTAATAAAATGTTTTATCATATGACATTTAATCTAATAGTAAAAAATCTTCTTTTAGTTTAGAAAAAAAGCGACAAATGATGAAATTGGCTGAATTTTAGTAATTTGTTGTTACTTTTTATAAAAAAAAAATGAAAATATATATTTCTAATATTTATTAACAAGTATAAACATTGATAGACTTTAAAAAGATATTATTCACTAAAAATAAAAATATTATAAACAGTATCTTTAACAATAAAAAGTGAGGCAATACAATAGTTTTTTAACAGAAAAAAACAAATACACAAGAAGCAGTGACTGCTGCAAACACTCTAACGCAAAAACCATAAATAAAATACAATTAATTTTTTGTTCTTTTATCCAATTATTCTACAAAAAAAATTGTGTTTTTTGAATAAAACTTCTGAACTGTATAAATGCGGAAATATTGAAACCTTTGTTTATAAACTAATTATAAGTTACATAACATTTTAGGTGTTTGAAAGAGAAAATAGTTGCTTGTAAATCAAAAAAAAATTCTTATGTGTTGAAGCTTTCAAGAAGAAGGAGTCAATATAACAATGCTTATCACTAATGTGATTGCAATGTTAGATTTGGATATTTAAAACTGCTGCAGTCCTGGGTATGATAATGGGTACAATATATTAAGTGCTATCAACAAAGCCCAAGCCTTAACAAACCAAAATTATTCAGAGGCTCTGTACGCTCCCTGTAATAGTTGAATCAGCCATTGCGATCAAAGTATTCTTAGGAAACGTCATAATTTTTATTAAAAGTCCTGTCTGATGGAAGATCCTCACTAAAGCAACAGGAATTTTTCTGCATAAACTTTCTATGACAAGAGTTCTTGTACTAATGCATTCCAACCATCTGCCAAGAGGCTGAGAGAAATATTGGCAGCTTTTGAACATGCCATGAAAAACCTGGACCTAACCAGTGAGGAGCTCAGTTAAGCAAGAGCCATGAAAAAATAGTTATCATCTTTTGAATTTGTATTGCTAATTACAATTCGGTACAAAACTTTTACTTCTGTTAACGACATTAGATGTCTTTTACAATCTGAAGCCATTACTATTGGACATCTGCTGGAAGATGAATAAATTTTTTTCAACAGATTAAGGGATCTTCGTTATAAATTTTCAAAGAGACTGTAGCTGTAGGACTGGACTGCTAAGATTTGAAACTGAACTCACTACTAAAAGAAAGCGTAAATTGAATCGCTTTCACGATGAGGCATCAAATGCTACCCATTTCTACGACAGCCAAATAAAAAAATTTAAAGTGAACGTTCTTAGTTTTAATTTATTATATATTTAGTCTGATCCAGCAGATTGAATCAATATTTGAGGCAAACAGGATGGTTGGCAATATGTTTTTATTCATCTAGTTGGATAAGAATGATTTTCCTGTTCAAAATAAAACTTTTGAACTTGCACTGTTTTATCCAAGAGGTGTGAACAAAGTTCGACAATGTCTGCAAAACAATTTTTAAGCACAAAAATCCATTGCAGCTACTCAATCAAATTTTCGAGAAAAAATGTACACTTGCACCATACTCCAGATTTTCAGCACTATTCCTGTGTCAGTAGCTAAAGGTGAACAATCGTTTAGTAAACTGATGATTGTAAAAAACTCTCTCCATTTAACCATGGTTGATCTTTTTTAAAGAGAAATAATCATGTTGCTGATCTTTTGATTATTTCAATTCAAGAGGATTTGGATCAAAAGATAAGCTACGACGATGTCATCAATATTTAAACCGCCAGAAAAGCTTTTAAGCACCTAGTTACCTTTCTCAAAGATTTTGTTGATTGAGTTTTTGTTTATTGGTTTTAAAACTATTATTTTGATTCATATGTCAGTTTTGATTTATAAACCGATTCTCAATTCAGAGAATTAATAGTAATGCAGAAATATAGTAGGCTGTATCAGAAATAGGTAATTTCTGCATTCACAAGAATGTAATTTCTCGGTTTGAAATATGGGCACTGTTCAGCATTTTTGACCTGTGCGCTATTAGTGCTCTCGAAGACCCTGCCTTAGGGAGTTGCCTAGATTTGTCTTATGGCAAATGCATCTATGTATATATATATATATATATATATATATATATATATATATATATATATATATATATATATATATATATATATATATATATATATATATATATATATATATACTCTTGCATGGTAGTGAAAAAGAGTTTCCCATAAACTGTAGTTTTAAAGAGCGCGTTAATAAACCAGACCAGAAAAAGTTTAAAAAATTAAATTTTTTTTTTTTTTTTTAAATGATAGACTGCCTCCAACCAAACCCTCAGTCGATGTAGCAGCACTCCCTTGCGAGTCAGGCTATTTGTCAGTCATTGTAGCAGCACTCCCTTGCGAGTCAGGCTATTTGTCAGTCGATGTACCAGCACTCTTTTGCGAGTCAGGCTATTTGTCAGTCGATGTAGCAGCAATCCCTTGCGAGTCAGGCTATTTGTCAGTCGATGTAGCAGCACTCCGTTGCGAGTCAGGCTATTTGTCAGTTGATGTAGCAGTACTCCGTTGCAAGTCAGGCTATAAGATAGTCGATGTATCAACATTTACGCATGTTTTAAAAATGTTTTTTAATAAAACAAATACAGGCCTCAGCGGGAAGCGAGAGCTAAAGCTCTCGCTCTTGCCCACACTTCCCTAAAATGGTTTACAAGAGCAATTTTTACAAGAGCAAAAATTTTTTTCTTTCAAAAGTGTAATTATCATTTTAACAGAAATGAAACCGCAAAGTCAAAAAAAATTAATTAATTGGATAATAAACAGGCAGGGTTTTTACAAAAGAAAATTTTACGTCTAAAGAATTTTTTTACAAAACAATAAATGATGTCTGTTATGCGTATATATTATAGTAACATTAATGTTACAAACATATGCTTGTAACAAGTATATGACCAAATTTTGTATTAATAAGCAATTTTTATATAAATAAACAGATAGCTTGTGCAAAAATTAAAAGCTCTTGTAAAAAGCAGTTTAGAAGAGCAGCTCGCATGGCTCGCCATATTCGTTTAAGGAGAGCTTTTCTTCGTTCTCGCGCTTATTTACTCCCGCTGAGGCCTCATATATATTTATATATATATATATATATATATATATTCATATATATATAAATATATATTCATATATATATAAATATATATGTATATATATATATATATATATATATATATATATATATATATATATATATATATATATATATATATATCAAAAGTGTTTTAATACTTTAAAGTTAATAATTTTTCCTATATTACTACGTTATTATGCTAACGTTGACTGGGTTGATTTATTGTTATATTTTTGAGGTGCAAATTGTTAGTTTGTTGTTAAATGAGAGTTCAAACTCTTTTGAACCCTCTTCTAACTGCTAATTTTTATGTTTTATTTGCTTAGTAGACATAAGAAAATATCAAAGTTTAAAAATTTTAAATTATAAAGTTTTGAAGTGGTTAAGCTTGGATTGAATAACTTTGAAACTTTGATCTTTTTCAAGTTCTATAAAGTGAAACATTTTAAAATTAAAATAAAGACATTAATTTTATGTTTTTATTTTTTCTGGTTTATTTTTTATATATTTTATCATTTGTTAATATGTTTATTTTTAAATTTAGTTTTTATAGTTTTTATTTTTAGTTTTTATTTCTCTTTTTAGTTTATAGTTTGTTTATTTTAATTTTTGTTTATGTTTATATTTATATTTGATTTTTGATTACATCTTTTAAATTTGTTCAAGTGTTTTTTAAAATAAGTGGTCTGGACTCTGAACTGTCCTTACTGAATACGGATAATTACTAAAAATAAGAAAAGAGAAAAAGTTAGTATTAAATTAATAAATGCAACTTTTGTGAGATTTATGTAAAAAAAGGTTTATAATTAGTTTCATATAAGTTGATTGAAGTTGTTGATTTTTTCCAGGTTATTTTTTAAAAATTTTATAGTTATTTTGTTTAGAAACATTCTTGTTAAAAAAGTTGGGAAAAAAACATCAAGAACAATGTTTGATAATCCGGCATTTAAAGAGGTTGATGAGCAAAGAAATTTTGATAATATTTTATTTTCAGACCCAGATATAGGCATTTTAAATGCAGAACAAGTGGCAGAAGTATCTAAATATGGTTGGGGAAGATATTCAGGAAAATATTTCCAAGCGTTGAATAAACCATCATTTCTAATTGCAGCTCTATGCATATGTTCTTTTTCTCAAGGACTGGTTGTTACTGGAATTACCTTTACAACAATAACATCTATAGAAAAACAATTTGGCCTAAAAAGTACAGAGAGTGGGCTTTTACTTAGTGTTACTTATGATGCAGCTTATGGTATTTGCTGTCTTTTTGTCAGTTACATTGGTCATAATCATAAACCTCGTTTTATAGGATTAGGTATGCTGGTAATGGCTTGTGGATGCTTTATTATTTCTATTCCAGAGTACCTTGTTGGAAGTTACACTGCTGGTATCCAGATTTCAACAGATTTTTGCCAAATTTCTTCCAATTATACAATTCCTGAAACAAACTGTAATGACGGGACATTATGGTATTATAAAGGTTTATTTGCTCTTGGTTTTGTTTTAATGGGTGTTGGTGCAACGCCTTTATATACTTTAGCACCAGCTCATATTGAAGAAGTAACACATAGAGGTCAAGGAAGCTTGTATTTGGGTATTTATTATGCTGCAGCAGTTTTAGGTCCAGCAGTTGGTTTTATTATTGGTCTTCCAATTCTTAATACTTGGGTAGACATTAAGCAGGTGTGTATCTTTTAACAAATTTATATTTTATAATTATGTTTATAAACAATCTTTGATTGTTTAATAAACTATGTTTGACAAAAATCAATTTACATAAATCTTTATACTTTGATTTTTGTTTCAATAATTGATAATGAAGTCAAAATCTACATTATTTATAAAATAATGAATATAAAATTTATAGAAATACAAAAAAAAAAAAAAAATTTGTAGTTAATAAATTTATTAATGTTTCTATGTAAAGCTGGGTTTGTAGAAGCTAAAGTTTTTATTTTGATACAAATTATTTTTGGTTTTCAGGTAAAAAGTTATATCCCCTGAGAAAACATGGGGAAATTAGTCAGTGTTGGTTTTACAACAAGAAAAGTATTTAGTAATGTCTTGGCATTGCAATCCCATTTACATGAGGCATTTTTTTTTATATATAAATGCCTCCTAAAACAGAAAAATGTATTTAAAAAAAACGAAAAAAATTTTTATAGTTAAGCACCTGCTAATTTTAAATTAGAACAACTGCAAATAACCTCAGAGCAGAATAAATAGCTTCACTCAAAAAGCAAAAAGTTTAATTCTTAAAATCAAGCATAATGACACGTTATTTAAAAATAAGAAAACACACTAAGTTTGATGTAAAAATTTTAAGAATTTTTCTCTACAAAACTTTTTTTACTTTCAAAAGTAATTAAATAAAATGCAGTTTGGTACAACATAAGTTGAATTATAATAGATAGCAATTGTAGATTAGGAGCATGATAAATCCTACCTTTTCTCATTGATATTCCCATGCTTGAATTTTTTGCATTTTCTCCAACAGTGTGGAAACTTAAATTACTTGATGCTTATCAATACCTGAAGAACACCCAACAGTTTTTCACTCAACAGAACAGAGTAGCAATCATGAAAAGTTTTTTAAAATGTTTTTAATTATGATAAAAAAGTTTTTTTAAAAAACATTTGTGAATTTTATGAATTTAATTTTTAAAAAATGTTTTTTAAATATTTTTTGTCTGGCTGCTGCAAGTATTATAAATGTAAAATAAAGCAGTTTTAATTTGTTTAGCCAACTAACTCAGCTATAACAACACAAGATAATAACTGGGTTGGAGCATGGTGGATTGGTTTTTTAGTAGGAGCTGGTGTTCTCTTATTTCCTGTTATTCCCATGCTTGGGTTCCCTCGAATTTTTTCAGACTCCAAAGAAATTCGTAAAAAGAAAAATGAATTAGAAGATACAACACTAGAAGATCAAACACTACGCCATGATCTAAAATCGGTTTGGCCATCAATAAAAAAACTTCTTCAAAATAAATCTTTTTTATTTATAACATTAGCCACAGCATCCGAAAGTTTAGCTACAGGTGGTTTTGCAACATTTTTACCAAAATTTATAGAAACTGAATTTTATTTAACAGCTTCACAATCATCTTTGTATACTGGCATAATAATAATACCAGGTAATTATTCTTACTTTAATATGCAGCAGTTTTTATTACTACGCATTAGTTTTGAGTTAACTTATTGAGTTAATCACATTTTAATTAAATTATATTAAAACATGAATTAAATTTAACTTATATTAAAACATGACTTATTAAAACATGACATAAATTTAACTTTGTTAAATTTATATTAAAACATGAAAAAATTAACTCCAAAACTTTAATTTTTTTTTCAAAGTTCATTTTGTCTCCTATATTTTTACTTAAAGGAAGTTGTAAAATTTTTCTTTCATTTAATTCTTGCTTAAAATTATTAAGAAATGGAAAAAATACATTAAAAATATTTATCATGATCATATGTAAAATAGTATCACTTATTATACTAAAACCCATTTATTTTGATCTTTACATATGCTTATCAAAATGCATATATACTTAATAAATACTGCTGTTACTTTTAATTTCAGAAGTTGTTATGAGGTACTGTATAAAGTATAAAAAGTATATAATTATGAAGTGAAGCTTGAAATATTTTTTTTTATTTACATAAATAAAGTTGTTATATGATATTTCCTTTGTATACTGAAATTTTACATAAAAATAAACCTTACATTTAGTTCTGACATTTGATTATCTGAAGTATCTTGGTTGCTTTTGATGATAATTTAGTATTTAATGATAATATTGTTTTAAAGTATGATATAATTATGGGTTGTTTATCATATTGTTGTATATCATATTATTATAATATGAAAATATTGACTTGTGTATTTTAATTTACAAAATAAGACATGGTTTTTTTAATTTTTCATTTGGAACAAGAATTTTTTCTTTCAGTTTATTTTAGTGTTTTGTAAACTCTGTTGGATTAAAGTGTTAAAAAAAAAACATAAATACTTTTTACCACATCCACAGCATTAGTTAATTATTAGTAATGCTACTTTCATATGGTATGAATTGGTATAAATTATCTATCTGATACCAAGTTGAATGTCATTTTTTCACACAAGCTATCTGTTTATTTATATAAAAATTGCTTATTAAATACAAAATTTGGTTTTATAATTTTTACATGCATGTTAATAATGTTAATGTAACAATAATATACACATAACAAGCATCATTTATTGCACCGTTAAAAAATTATTTAGATGTAAAAAAAATTTTTTTGCAATAACCGTGCCTGTTTATTATCCAATGAATTTAACTTTTTTGACTTTTTTGCATTTATATATATATATATATATATATATATATATATATATATATATATATATATATATATATATATATATATATATATATATATATATATATATATGTATATATATATATATATGTATATATATATATATATATATATATATATATATATATATATATATATATATATATATATATATATGTATATATATATATATATATATATATATATGTATATATATATATATATATATATATATATATATATATATATATATATATATATATATATATATATATATATATATATATATATATATATATATATATATATATATATATAAAGTACTGATCAAAATTATAGCAATGTAAAATAAAAAGTGAATGATAAAAATTTAATGGAGAGTTGAATGGAAAGTTATAATTATTTTTAATAAGATATTCATTTTTGTAATAAGAAAACATTATCTGAAGATAATGTTTTCTTATTACAAAAATGAATGAAAATTAAAAATACATTTAAAGTTGACATATTACAGAAAAATAAGCTGGTCAAAATTATTGCACATAGTACTGATTTTAGATTAAAAAAACATCAGAATTTGATTTAATATGTCAATAATTAAATCTGATGTAATATTTAATTGATTTAATAAAAAATGTTGAATTCTTGAGCTCTAAACATTCGAGAAATATGATCTGGAACAGAATTTACCAATTTAATGCAAAGATCAATTGAAGTCTTGTCCCAAATGTCTTGAATTGCATCTTTTAAGTCATTTGTGTTGCTTCTCTTGTAATTTTTGAGCTTTTAGTCAATAATTGACCAAAGATTTCCAAACAAACTTGCATCTGGTGAAGTGGGTGGCCATTATAGGAGCTGAATATTCTTTGTTGCAAACCATTCCAGAGTTGTTTTTTTTGCTTTGTGACACGGTGCATTGTCATGCATAAAATAACAATCTTCAGATTCAGAATCAAAATGAGTGTTCATATAGTCATGTAATTCTGCAATAACTTCTAAATAGTTAGAAGCATTCAAACGACCTTTGTAAAACTTCAATAAACCTATTCCATTTGCAGAAATACATCCCCATGCAGAAATAGTTTTACCACTACCTTGTTGCTTTTGTAAAATTAAATGGTAAATCTTTTTCATTAGAAAAATGATGTACAAACTTACGATGCTTTCTATTTATGACTTCAAAATGTGAAGCGTTGCTAAATACCACATAATGCCATTGATTTCGAGTTCAATCAACATTACACCAAGGTTTTTGCACCAAATGAGTCTCTTCTTTTTCTGAGTCTTATTTTGATAACAATGTTGTTTCTATCTGTAACTTTTTAACAAATTTAATCATTATTCATAATCATTAATCATCATACAATGATTAATGATAAATTTGTGTATGCATTGCATACAAAAATTTTACATGACAATCTTATTTTAAGAGGTTGTGCTATAATTTTGACCAGTACTTTATATATAAATGATATATATATATATATATATATATATATATATATATATATATATATATATATATATATATATATATATAATATATATATATATATATATATATATATATATATATATATTATATATATATATATAAATATATAAAGATTAAATGTTAGAAATTTGTTGACTCAAAAACCTTATTAATAATAGAGAGAAGACTGATCAAACAATAGTTGGCGGGTGTTCTCCAAAGGTTTTACAAATTGAAACCACAGATGCCATTTTCTAGCAGGCAGGAAAACAAGATTCAGTCAAGCACTTGTTAAATAGTTTCATGAGAATTAAAGAGAGTTCCCAAGAGCACTTTTGTAAGATTATTACAGGAATGTTATCTGGACCATAAGCCACAGAAAAGTTTAAAGTCGGATTGATTTAGATGTATAACAATGGATTAACTTGTTTCTCCAAAATGGCAGGAAGAGTGTGGGGATTTGATTTAAGAGTTAAATTAGAGTAAAAGTTTTTTGCAAAATTGCTCCGCCTTATTCTTGGCAGAGCTAATCAGATCAAACCCATGTAATAAAGAAAAATATCAGACCTTTTTTAATAACACTGTTGAAGATTTTGGTCAAAGGTCTCTAAAACATAACTTCTGAGATAAAATGCAATATTTAACAAGCTTAGAATATTGGAACTTAGTGTCAGACATCCTCTGATTACCCCTTGATACATTTCTTGCAATACTAAGAGCACTTTAGTTCTCAAGAGAATTGTTTCTATTTATAATCAAAATTATTTTTCTCAAAAGATGAAAAAAATGATTTTAATTACAAATAGAAACAGCATGAGAAAGTGAAAACTTTAGGGAAGAAAAAGGCTTGAGAAAAAGTTTCCATGCCTGCTTAGATCCTGGAGATTACATTGAAGGTGCCTTCAGCAGATAGAAAAGAAAGACATCAGTCCAAGGAGCGTCACAAAGAAAATCACAAAAAGAATCAACTTTATGGTTAAGTAGTGTGATTATAGGTCTAGAGAAGAAAAAAATAAAAGATTTAGAAAGATCATAGCATAGTCCAACCATAGAGGGTTGGGTCAAATATGCATTTGTAATTGTATTTGGTAAAAATAAATTTTGTGTGGCTAATTTTATATATTTGTATTGTATGTAATTAAATAATTTGACCAGAAATATCATTGAAAAAAATGCAGTTTTTGGAGGAAGTAGAACATTAAAAAAACAAATAGAAAGGTGATTGAGTGAAGAGGTGCTAAATAAAAGAATATAAAGGAATGGTCACAGGATTCAAACCTAATTTCACAACAAATAGGTGATATGATGTGTAAGTATTATATGCATGTCACTATTGAAATCTTTGCAAATTAAAGGGTAATCACCATCAACACTGAGATCTGAAGATGAAACAGCCAATTTCAAATTAGTTTCATAAAAAGCAAGTAAGTCTGTTGAATTTTGCAAGAGGTAAGATTGAAATGATGAAATATTACATTAAATATCACAAATGTTTTTAAAAGATAGATTAAAACAACTTGGTGTGATGAATTTATTTTGTTTTTATCTTAAATGTTTTTTTAATGTGCTTTTTATGTTTAAATTTTAAGTTACTTTAGTTGTGAATCAAGACATCTCTAGCCTTTTTTTAACAAAGAGCCCTAAGCCAGGGGTAGTTTTAGTCAGAGTTTACTTCTTCTAGCCATTACCTAGAAAAGCAAATCCTACTAAGCTGAAGGGTGTGGGGCAGATTGTACTGGATTAAATGTTACCAGTAGCAGGGTGATGATCATTATTACCTGAACCTGACCTAAAGTAGTTAGAAAAACTTGCTTTATTTAGCAATATTCTAACATACAGTATCGGACAAAACAAGTGCAACCAAATAATGCTAATTTAGTTTCTTTATATAAAAGTCCTGCATTTTTTCAATTTAGAGAAAGAACTATGTAGCTGTTTAGAGACAACGTATTTCAAGTTTTATTCATCACAAAGTTCATTATTTGTACACGAAAATTAATAAATTAATCAAAAGTATTAAAAGAAGTTGATTTCCTTCTGGACAAAACAAGTGCAACTCCACAAATTGTTGACCAAGCTATATTTCGCTATCAATATTTTTTGGCGAATCCTTTGTTGTGGATCACAGCCTTGCATCTTCGAGGCATAGGTTCGATCAGGTGATCAATGAAACTTTGTGGAATCGCTGCCCAGGCCTTTTGGATTTGTTCAAATAGTTGATCCTTATTCCATCTTCACGATTAATGCCATCGCTCCCAATGATGTTGAACTTCGATTCATCACTGAACAGGACAGTTTGCCATTTTTGCACATTTCAGTCAATATTAGATGTAGCAAACAAGAGTCTTTTCTTCTGATTCTTTAGTAAAATCAGTGGTTTCTTTGCAGGGCGTCGAAAAAAGAATCCGGCTTCAACAGCACGATGTCTGATTGTTTGGTCCGATACAGGCAGCTTTAATTGCTTTTGTATCTCAACTGATGATATCCAGGGATCCTTCTTGGCAGATCTGACGTTCATAGAATTTTCTCTAGAAGTGGTGGAACGCGGTCTTCCACCTTTGTTATCTGCTGCCAACTTCCCCGTCGAACGATATTTGGAACATAGTCTTGATACAGTCCATTTTTTCACACGATGTTTATCACAAATACTTTTTTGTGACATTCCACTTACATAATCGCCAATTCTTTTCTTTCTTAGTTCCAATCCAAGACTGTCGGGAGTAGGGATTGCAATCCTGGGATCCCGAGATCCCGGGCTTTTTTGGGTCCCGAAAATCTCGGGATTTGAAACACAAAATCCCGGGATTTTCAGGATTATAGCAGGATTGAACTAATTAAATTATTTTGTAAAACAAAATGTTCAAAGTTGGTAACTATACTGAATTATAAAAAGTTATATAATTGCTGCTTTGCAGGTTTATCCTGTTTATGCTTTATCCTTACGATAAATGGAACAAATTTTTGAATAGACTATGGAGTTCGGGATTTTATCATTGAAAAAAGTTTCACAAACACAAATTAAGGCAGGTTTGTTTGACTATTGTATAAAAAACAATCGTTAAGTTTGTTGGCAAGACTTCTCGCGTTAAAAAGATAAATTTTAAAATTGTTGAGCGAATTTGTGGTTAAGTGATTGCTTGAGTTTATTAAGTCGTTTTGTTCATTTCAAAAAATATTTTTAGAGAATGAAAAAAATAAAAATGAACAAGTAATAAAAAAAAAATTATATCTAAAAAAATTTAATGATTACTACATAACAATTCCCTTTGGGATATTTCTAGCGATTTGTATAACTATTTTTGTACTATTATTAGTTATTGCAACATTATAATGCCCTTTACAATTAATTCCGCTTGAAAGAATTCTAGTGTGAATACATACAAAATTTGACTGTGGAATGAATCGTTTTGAACGTTTTGAACTGATAACCTTTTTAATGCTTTTGTTGTTTACCGCAATAATATGTTGTTTACTAATGCACCTTAAAAAAATATCCTTCTAAACATGAATGAAAACAGTGAAAACGGAACATCATTTTTTCTACACAAAAAAGATAAAGATCCAACTTCAGCGTGGTCACATTATTTGAAGTCTGCGGATAATTTGGCAGCAAAATGTAAGAAATGTGGTGTAATATTGAAAACATTGGGTGGTTCTACAAAAGGCCTTCATACGCACTTATCAACTAAGCATAATTTGAAAGTAACTTCAGCCGACAAAAATTTACCTAGTTCGAGTCAACAGTTGAATGATGCCAGAACCGACGAGAAGCCTCCTACAAAACGAAGAATAACGAGTTACTTTGCATCTGAAAAAAAAAAACTTTAGACGAAACACTGGCCCAAATGACAGCTTTAGTCTCTCAATATTAACAAACAACTTATTATGTTATTTTTTACAAAGTAGCTTGTTGCTACAGCAGCTACATCGGTACCCAAATTTAAGAAAATTTATGTTTACAAATTTATTTTGAAATTTTGATTGTTTAGTTACTTTAGTCAAATACACTGTAAATGTTCAAATGTTATTTACATATCCAATTATTTGATGAAGGTTATTCTGTTAAGTCTGTAATCTTAAAACATAATATGGAAGGTACCGTATATATATTTCTGCATTATTTTAAGATCTTTATATACACCTGCTGCCTGTTACACAATTAAAACAATTTAAGGCGCCGTAGAAAATTAATGTAAGTCATTAAAACATAATGAAATTAAATAAAGAATTGATAACATCAAAAAGTATATTCATATATGCAGTATTAAGTTCTGTTTTTTAGCAAATAACTCACATTATATAAAATCCCGTGATACCGGGATCACTTGAAATCATAAAAATAATAAAAATAAATTTTGCACTTGAAATCATAAAAATAATAAAAATAAATAATCACGCTTCTCAAGGCTTACCATTTACCTTGTGATGATACAATAATGCTCTGTGGAACACAACGTCTTGGTTGGATGTGGACTGGATTGATGTAATAAAACACTTGTTGTATTTCACTTCTTGTATTGATGTTCTTTGATAAAACTCATTTCGATAAACTGTCTTGATAAAACTGACTGATTGACTTCCATCTACTGACTGAATTACATGTCGGTTTACATGTGTCTTATACAGTAAAATGAATCTGTTCTGGAAGATTTTAGATGCTTTTTTTTGATGCGGCTGGATGCTTCTGAATTTTTCCCGATACTTCTGGATGCTTCCAAATCCTTCTTCTGGAAACTTCTGGATACTTCCTTTAATTATTAAAAAACTTCTGTGACGTTGACACGGACCAGTCTTACGAAAACGAAACAAACTAAAAAAGTTGCACTTGTATTGTCCGCTGCAAAATGCACTTGTCAACAAAATTCTGCCTGTGTGCTGTCACCTGTCAGCTGATTGCTCATGTCATGGCATGCTATGATTCCAGACTCCTGAACTGTTTGCTGTGGTAGTATAGTTTGTTTCGTTTTTAAGACATGTAAAATTAGGAACACTTTTTAGTATTGATCAATGTTTTGATATAAAATGCGTGTGTATAATTGTTATGAATATAATTGTGAATGCATTTTTGATTTCAGACAAAATAATAAGCACAAATATATATAATATTTAGGATAACTTCTCAATTTTTTTTATTAAATGAGATTTTTTTATTATTGCAAAGTAACTGCATTAAAAATGAACTTGCATTGTCTCACATGCAGCATGAAATAAAATTCATAATAAAAGATTTTAAAAATATTTGTTTGATTCCTTTTTTGTTAAATGATAAAGTCAATTTATTAGTCCTTGAGACTAAAACACTTGATTTGATTGAGTTTTTTTTTTAACTCTTAACATATTGTAATAGGAGCTGCAGGTGGAATTATCCTTGGTGGCTACATAAGCAAGCGTTTTAATTGGAATTGCCAGTCAACATTAAAATATTCAGCAATTATAGCATTGGTTTCAACCGGACTCATATCTTCAATTTTTATTGGTTGTGAGGGGCGTGAAATAGTAGGTGTAGCTATTCCCTATTATAACAGGTAAATATAAAATGTTGTCTAATTTTTTTTTTTTGTTGTTGTTTTTTTTTTTATAACATTTATTTGTAAAAAAAAAAAAAAAAAAAAGTTCCAGACTAACAAACCCATAATATCTTGATAAATCTAAGTTTGTTAAATACTAAAACAAGTTGATCAAATAATTAATATAAACTTCATTTTTTTTGTTTTTTTGTTTATTTTTTTAAATATTTTTGGTCAGAAAATAAAATCTGATCTGCTATATCAGAGTTCAAAGATAATTTTGAGCAAAAAGAGCTATGCCTTTTTACATTACCGATTTTTAACAGCCCTTCATGTTTAAACATAATACCTAGTAATAATGTTTGACATCAGGATCCAATTTAAGTAAGAGGTTTGTTATTTTCTTTACTGTTATTTTTATCTTTTTTATTTAAATTTTAGCGATTTAGTTTCATTAGAGAACAACTGCAATATAGATTGTAACTGCAATCAGCAATATTATAAGCCTGTTTGTTCAGTTGAAGACCAACAAACATTTTATTCACCATGTCATGCTGGCTGCTCCAAAGCTTCATTTTTAAATGGAGTATTTCTAATTTTTCTATTAGAATGTATTTTTTTTAATACTTAAAAGGTTTATCTAAATAATTAATTAATTGTTTAGATATACTACAACTGTAAATAAATTGTTTAGATATACTACAACTGCACCTGTTTACCACCTGACGTCATTAAGGTTATTGAAAATAGATGCACTCCAAGTTGTAAGCTATTTCCTCTGTTTGCTGTGTGCGCATTTTTACTTATGATTTTTACTTTCTTGAATAACGTTCCCGTATTAAACGCTACATTCAGGTGAGTTTTGTTTATTGAATTGATAATATAGTATCTAGGTTTCAAAATGAGCAAATTTATATAAAATTTTAATAATATTAATTTAATTATAATTTTTATATAATTTTATAATATTAATTATAATTTTTAAAACATTGTAAATAATTATTTAAAAAAAGACTGAATAAGAATATAAATATATATTTTTTAATAATATAAAGTATTTAAAACTCATGTTTTTTTTTTGGCCATAAAGTTATCTTTTTATTAAAGTGATTATTTTAAGAAACCAAAAATTTCAGTTTAAAGAAAGTAAATAAGTTTCAAATCTTGACTTGATTTTATTCGAGCCATGGTCACATTTTATATGATTTGATAATGATTAACAAACAGTTTTTTATTGTTGTTTAGAGTTGTACCAGCAGATCTAGGATCTTTTGCTATGGGTTTTCAACAAGTCTTTGCACGGTTTCTTGGATTTATTCCTGCACCAACTATATTTGGTAAGCTTATAGATTCGAGTTGCAAATTATGGGACATCGACGAATGCACAGAAGAAACAACAAATTGCCTCGAGTACGATAATACCGATTTTAGGTAAAAAATAAAGAAAAGCTTTAATTTGTTTAAACGTAATTTAATGTCCGTTTTTTTTTATTTACTTATTTCAAATTTATTGTTTATTAGCTTAAAAATTATTCATTGTTATATAACGCGCATTTCAGATTCAATCTATTTCTTATCGGAGTGGTAGTTAAGTTTCTGGCAACATTTTTTATATTCTTGGCTTTCAAGTTTTACAGACTTCCAAATAAAACAAAACAAATAACGTTAAAAGATGTTACAAATGTTGCTATTATACACAGTGAATAGATATCTAATAATTTCATTTGGATTGAACAAAGAAATTTGTGCTGCATTAATTTCTTTATTTGGCAATATTTATACTTTTTTATACATTATTTATTGTAAATACTTTTATTTATTAGTGTATAAGTTCTTATACTCATTTTTTAGACAAAAAACTTTGTTTATGGGTAAACAAAGTTTAGTAAAAGTGTTGTAAATAATTAAAACTATTTATAGTAAATTTTTTTATTCAATGTTAATTATTTTTATAAGAAATACATTTTTTTTAAATTTAACTAATTTTGATGGCGTACGTTTTGGTATTACGTTTTTAAGAATTTTATTGTTTCTGTGCAATGTTTGTCCGAATGTCAATCCCATAATGCTATAGGTTACTGAAAAAAATCTTTAGAACACAAAACTTACGCTTTTGACAGTACTTTTTTTCATTTATAATAAAAATTAAATTTTTCCAATCTAAATAGCAAGTTAACTTAGTGACTCACTCCTATTAAAAGATCCAAAGTGGCAACAAAGAGCTCGATGTGTAATCTTGACAATGCGCACTAGGGTGCGTATTTATCAAACTTTAATAAGTTAAATTGGTACATGATTTCACATAAAACAAACATATACAATATATAATCTTTTTTTCAAAAGATATTGCCAGAAAGGTAATTGCGATATTAACTTCATAAAGACCTACAAAAACCGTTACATTTGTAATTAAAAAATTCTTGAACTAACAAAAACAATAGAATTTGAAATCCATTGCTCCAATTATTTTAAAATCACAAATAATACTAGAGTTTCCACGGTTTTCAATACCGGTATTCAACTAAAATTTTCCAATACGGAACCGTTTCCCAAATAAAGATAGCAATATGGACTAACAGGGTCGCCGAGAGCCGTCTTGCCGCCTGTGACAGCAAACCTGATTAGCGCCCTTATTTCCCTTCAAACCACAAGTTTGTTAAATTTTTTTATTAATTAGTTACCTTTTGGTATTATAATTTTTTTTTTTTATTTTTTTTTTTTTTGTTCTTTTCTTCAACATTTTAGTAAATCGTTGCACAATAAAATCGTTAACATTTAAATAACAAAATCATACAATAAGAACTAAGTAAAAGATAATATAGGTATTTAATTTAAAAAAAAGAACGCGGAGACTCGAACAAAACCGTCAGGTCTTGTCATCGAGAACCGCTCGTATTTTACAATCTCAATAAATCATATTTAAATATAGTTGTATATCTCTATAAAAACTTTACAGCTTAAATACATCAAATATTACATGAAATTATTAAATGTTTAAAAATATAATATCCAGAGACAAAATTATTTCTTTAAGTTTATTTTTAAATGAAAGGTAACTCCATGCCGAAGAAAAATCAAAATGTTTTAAAACTATTTTATTCAAAAGAAAAGCTCCGCGAAATGCAATGTTTGTTTTTCCAAAATTAGTTTGATAAAAAGGTTGCCGAACTAAATTGACATTTCTCATTTTGTATTCATTTTTATCTTTCAAGGTTGATATGATTATTATTGCACTAATAATAATTATTGCACCACGATTCCCCTTGAACAATTTCTATAACTATTTTTGGAAAAGTATTAACGATTGCATTACAATTTCCTTGGACATTATTACCGCATGAAAAAGTTCATGAATGAAGGTATATAATAGCTGTAGTGTTAGCTTATGTTTTTATAGTAATAGTATATATATAAAAAACAATAAATTGTTTAGCATTATAAAAATTATACATTTAATTATAATATTTAATATATCTACTTATATAAAAAAATGATATACAAGTAATACAATTTTATTTGCGTTATATTTATTTTACTTTACTTTATATATATAACTAGTACAAAAAAAAAAGGTCTGGTCTGATTACCCACCTGGTCTGATTACCCACTGATTACCCACCTGGTCTGATTACCCACATGAGAATCCATACCCACCTAGCATAAACACGTGTTTTTAGAATCTAAAGTATTTACACTTTTAGGCATTATACTAGGGTCACTTTAGACGTTATACTAGGCCATCTTTAAACTTTAGACTAGGGTCACTGCTTTATCTCATTTAAGTTAAAGATCTGCATAATGCTTTAAATTTGAAGACAATGATGTTTACCGATGATACAAGTCTTTTTCTATCCGGTAAAAATATCATTAGACTATTTAATGACATCAACATAGAGCTAATTAGAATTTCAAATTGGTTTAAGTCAAATAAACTTTCAATTAACTTGGAAAAAACTAAATGGACTTTTTTCATCCAAAATGCCAAAAAAAACTTTTATTAAATATGCTTCAAATGTGTATTGATAATGTTCAAATAAAGAAATCAAAAGTTATACATTACTTTGGTGTTTTCATTGATGAAAATCTAACTTGGAAAAACCATATCGAAACTTTGCGCAATAAAGTTTCAAAAAATATTGGAGTAATGTATAAAACGAGGAATTTTGTAAATAGACATTCATTAATTCAACTTTATCATTCACTAATCTAATGCCATATAAACTATGCAAATATCGCATGGGGCAGTGCTAAAAAAATTCAATTAGATCCTTTATATCGGCAACAGAAGCAAATACTCCTTGCGAACCGCTTTTACGTGCACTCGGTGCTTTAAATGTGTATAAACTCAATTTACACCAAGTTTTATTGTTTATGTTTAAAGCAAAAATGGGATCGTCACCCAAAATTTTTCAAACTTATTTTAATAAATTTAATCATAAATATTCAATAAAATTTTCAGATAGCAACTTTGTTCTTTTCAAATATAATTTAAAACTAACCTCATATTCAATTAAATACTGCGGACCTTATCTGTGAAAAAAAAATTCCCAGAAATAGTCAACAAAAGCAAGACTACATTAGAACAAAAGCAAGACTACATTAGAACAAAAGCAAGACTACATTAGAACAAAAGCAAGACTACATTAGAACAAAAGCAAGACTACATTAGAACAAAAGCAAGACTACATTAGAACAAAAGCAAGACTACATTAGAACAAAAGCAAGACTACATTAGAACAAAAGCAAGACTACATTAGAACAAAAGCAAGACTACATTAAAACAAAAGCAAGACTACATTAGAACAAAAGCAAGACTACATTAGAACAAAAGCAAGACTACATTAGAACAAAAGCAAGACTACATTAGAACAAAAGCAAGACTACATTAGAACAAAAGCAAGAATACATTAGAACAAAAGCAAGACTACATTAGAACAAAAGCAAGACTACATTAAAACAAAAGCAAGACTACATTAGAACAAAAGCAAGACTACATTAGAACAAAAGCAAGAATACATTAGAACAAAAGCAAGACTACATTAGAACAAAAGCAAGACTACATTAGAACAATTTAAAAGTGAATCAAAAAGATCATTACTCTTCAGGGAATTTATCCCACTTAAATGTTTCTTTTGAAATAAAAACAAGTTTATTTATATCAATGAAATTTTAGTGATGTTATTAAAAATTCATCTTGTGATTATGTTAATTATGAAATTTTATATATATATTTTTTTTTTATTCGAAAATTTTTGTTTAAGAGATTCTTAAACATTTTAGCAGTTGTTTAGCATTCCAACACTTCTCAATTATTTGTTATTTGCTATTTTGAATTTGCTATTTGCTTTATTTTCTTAGTTATTTTCTGTTTAATTCTGATTTATGTTTATATATATATATTTGAATACTACGGTTATGTAGAATCTTTTTTGTATATGGGGCTCGGCGACAACGCAAACTGTGCCTTCTTCTTGCTCCAGCCATTAATTTCGATATATTTACATGCAATGTAAAGATTCCTTAACGGCGAAATAAATTTTACACACACAAAAAAAAAAAAAAAAAAAAAAAAATAGCGCGTCTAATAAACTTTAAAGCTTGTTACATTCATGCCAGACCTCTTTTGTTAGAAATGAATGTTCTTAATATATACTAGCAAAATGTTTTTAATATTCTTTTATTTATGTACAAATGTAAGATAAACCTAACCCCTATATCCTTTCAAAATTTATATGCAATAAAGCAAAAAAACAAATATGACTTAAGAAATGACAATCTTATTCACCAACATTATTCTCATACAAGTTTTGGAAGATCTCTTTTAACATATCGCAGAGCTCTTCTGTGAAACAAAATAGTTTTGAAAAATTTTGATTTTTCTCAAAGTTAGAGTTTTCTTACTTTTGAAAAACTTATATTGTCAATTGATAATATATTTAAGTTCTTTGAGTTTATACCTTTTAAAAAAGTGTGTGATTCCTGTATATATTGTTTTATTTCGAAATATTTAGTTTTATATATTTTCTTCATGTTGGTTAACGTTATTTTATGTAATGAAATATCTGGTTAGATTTAAATTTTATTTCTAAACGTCAGTTATTGTAATTATTTAACTGGTTATATTTTTACGGTTCTCAGTGACATATTTATACCATTATATTATTGTAATAAGAACAAAAAACAAAAAAAAAGAGATGACGAATAATAGCTGTCTCAAGCCGTCTAAAAGATGACCACTAATAGATGTCTTATATTTATATGAATTTAGACATCTAAAAGTGACGAGTGACAAGTCAAATGAAGAAGATGCCGATAAGCATGATAATGCAAACGATTTCAAAGAACTTCTTTTTAATTTTACTTCGGATGAAGATAATGATTCAGATTCTGATTATAATGACAATGATTATCTTAAGAGATTGAATCGCAGCGACATTTTTAATGATATCATAGATAAAACCGCTCATGGAAGCAGAAACAGACCATTTCGACATGGCATCAGGTCTCTATTGAATACTTTACATAAACTGATTAAATTTTTTAAATTGTCAAGCGTTCGTAGCTCCATATTGCAAAAGCATGTTTTCGAGCAAGAAAATAAAAAAACTGATATTAAAACTTGACAGTAAAACTCGGTTTCTATGGTTCCTATGGTTGAAATGTTAATAAAAAAAAAACCATGCATTGAAAAATCAGTTTTGGACATTGGAACAAATAGTTGTTACAAGGAAGTCAATTTTAAAACTTTAGAAGATATTTTAATAGTGTTAAAACCTATTGAATTGGCTGTTAAGGAGCAAAGTAAGGATAACTCAAGTAATCTGACCAGTGAAGGTGTTCACATGTTTTTGTTCAAAAATCTTTCTGAACAAACGTTTAACTTATGTGTAGTAATACTAGATTCCCTCAAAAAGCGATACGATAAGCGACGCAACTCAGATTTAGTGTTACTAATGAAATATTAGCAAAACCCCAAATT